TTCCCCCCCACGTCCCTGGCAGCGCAGGCAAATTCAGGCACCTGGAGCAGCCAGTAGAGACATAAATCACCACTCGGGGGAGGGAGCAGTGTAGTCGTGTGTGTGAGAAAGAGAGAGACACACTGTTCCTCTTGCTCGCTACTACAGCACACTTAGCATGAAGGGGCAGGGTTTGGGGTGTTTCTGAGGAGGTAGGTGTGGGACAGGCTCTGTCCCGTCAGGCAGAGGAGGATGTAGCAGACTGCCTGCTTAGTGAACTGTTCCCATTCTCTTTGTGAATTCCCCCAGGAGTATAAAACAAATGTAAAAGTTTTAAGGCTCCTTTATATTGCCAGAGTGGTGTAAAGGACAGTATGGCCTTATAAATGCTTATGGTGCTTTAGTGATTAGAACTGGTCTAAATTTTTGGACTGAATAAATTTCCTATCCGAATGTGCTCTAGGAACTGTTTGCTACTGACCTTTCTGGAGATGGTCAGTAGCCAGTTTAAACTGTGAGTTTGATTCCCCAGCCCTCACTTGCTCTTCAGTTGCCTATGATGCAACACTGAGCATATGCTGCATATATTTGTTGACTAATAACTAGAAATAAAGGGTCAAACCTAGTTACATTGCTGTTAGGCAAGGGTGTTTGGGGATTTCCTCCAATGCTCCCCACTCCCATTCTCCATCCACTGTATTGTAGTTTAAATAAATTACTGAAATAATTGAAACCAGAATGATTATATTGTGTTATTTTGACAAATAAAATATGCAGAATTTTATAATATTGTGCGCAGAATTTTTAATTTTTTGGAACAGAATTCCCCCAAGAGTACTAATTGTATTTTACTTTGGGGCATATGTATAATATAAGGCTGAGAGTGTGTTAGTCATATGGCACTGTTTTACATCCTACAGCCCTGCAATCAGATCCACGCAGGCAGAAACCTGAACCTGTGTGGGCTCCCAACTGACAATATATGTGCATCAAAGTTACTCACGTCTGCAAGTTTTTGCAGGATTGGACCTGAAATTTGTTCTTTCATATAATATTATGGTGCTACAATAATAGCCTCAGCCTGTTTTTCTCTGCTATAGCCCAGACCTTTAAGGATAAACCATTCACAGCCTTAGCTCTCTTAGTTTATCCCTGCATCATTTCACAAAATAAAGCCAAAACGTAACAGTATCCCTCAAATAAAACTCTATTACATTTGGAGGAAGAGTTGAGTGATTCCAGATCCCCTGGAGAATACGGACAATACTGAGAGAGTATTGACTTAATCAGTCAGAAATAAGGGCTTCACTCGCTGGAATAATAGGAAAGAGAGATTGCGTGCCAGGATGCTGTAAAAGTATAGAGTCCACATTCCCTCTGAAGGAGATGCAGCGGTGACTCCTGTCAGGATCTGCAGAGCTCTCACTGCCAGTAAATTAAGGAGTAGGAGGAAAAACAATAGTTGTCTACACGACTACACGTAAAAGTTGTCCCCTTATAACTAGAGTGCCACAGTTAAAGTGATATACCGGCCATAGCCAGGACGCAGTTATACCACTGTAAATGTGCTTCTACCACTACCCTTATTTCCATTTGGGAAGGTAAATAAGATACACTGGTATAAGGTCTGGTGACCGGGCATCATCCCACTCCTGTCTTTTTTCTAGCCACGAACCGCTCAGAGACCTGCTTCTGGCCAAACACCTTGTGCAGTTTATTTACTGTGCTCTCTGCACCATCCTTACAGACTTGTGCAGCTCTGTATTTACAACAGCACATGCTCCTTAGCTCAACTCAGCCAAGGAGGTGGGGAGACAGAAGGTATCTTCCTCCTGAGGGATCTCTCCTGCCTGTGACTCTGAGAAGGCCACTCTCTACCTGTCCCCTCCCCCAACTCCAAGCACTTCCTTACTGTGCCTTTCTACTTCCTGGGCTAATGGGTTAATTAGCCAGGCAGGTCTCTCCAGCCCATCCTCAACGATCGATTAGGCACGGCTTTGCCCTCAGGTTTACTCTGGGGTGATGTAACTGGTGATCCAGTGACCAGAGTGCTGAGAACTCTGTTACAGACCCCTTTATACTGGTGTTCCTGTGTTCACACTAAGGGTTGTCTCCGTATAACTAGTTGTGTAAAAACATCACACTCCTAACCAAACTAGTTAAACTGGTACAAAATCTGTGTGTAGACCAGGCCTACGGGCCAAATTATAATTCCCTTTCTCATGCAGACTAGAACCTACCCCCTGAGAAGTAACACTGAATCCAAGAGTAATGTACTATGTAGCATGAGTAAATGAATATGAATCTGGGTTTAAAAGGGAGATTCCAAAGGGCTCAGCTTTCACCTAACTATGCTCTCATTAAGTCAATGGGCACATAGGTGCCAACTCTGTGGGTGCTCCAGGGCTAGAGCTCCACAGAAAAAAAATAGTGGGTGCTCAGCACCCACTGGTGGGCCCCACCGATCAGCTCCT